GGGACTCATTTTCTTCGCCACAATTCTGATAATTCGCATTCTAAGGTCGTGCTTGAGTCCTTCATTTCGATTCCTTCCCAAGGTCGTCTTCCTTTTTTCAGTTCGATCTCTCTTTGGTGAGTCTCCCCTAGCTCTCCTTTTTTATTTGGTGCCTTTCCATGTCTAGCTTTAGTTTTGATAGCCTTTTAGATGGGAGCAATGAATCTGTTGGAGCTAAGGTGGGTACTTTGGCTCAGGCCGTAGGTCTTCATCCAACTGAGGAGGTTATTTCAAGTCAGGATGCAATCCACGGTCCTCCCAAGGTGGACTCATCTCGGGGGGAGCGAAAGTTCTCTGGTGACCTGGCTTCTACCTAGCGTCAAGGTCAGGTGCCCGATAACTTTGGCCCATCGACGATGACAACGGACAAGCTCCTATCCCTAATAGCCCGATACAGACTCCCCAGTACCCTTGTGTACAGTATACCCTTAGGTAATTTTCCTTAGGAGTATGGTCATGATGGATTGTGATCTTCGAGGAACACCTCGTGGCTGGTCTTCAACTTCCACTTCACCCCATGATAGTCAAAGTCATAAAGTTGTTTAACATCACTATAAATCAATTGTACCCAAACTCCATCCATAACGTATTACGAACCATCCCACTTTTCCATGACCACAACCTTCCTTTCGACCTCGACATCTTCTCTTCTACCCTCTCCATAAAAAAGAACTCGTCCTATGTTTTGCCTGAGCACAAGCAAACTTACTACCTGTCACCATGCCTAGGCTTTAAACTCTTGCATGAGCTCTCGAACAAGGTCTAGACCTAGAAAAGGCCTTATTNGTTCTAGAGCCTGAGAAGCCATCTATCACCAAGCAACCTCCTGTGATTGACTTGGTCAAGGAGTAATTTGGGAAGCTCTCCCTACCCTACACGCCTGAGTAGGCAATGTTTTCGGAGCCAGTCCTGTAGTTGCCGCTTCTTCAGGCAACGATGACGCAACTCAGAGCATTCTGACTCCGAAATATGACCTCCTCAAGAGCAAAAGCATGGTGTATGCCGAGGAAGTTGCTAGCTGGGCTGAACTACTAGTTACTAAGCTCAGAGCCTGAGCGGCTACCCACTGCATGGTAGTAAGTTTTCTGACTTATATTCAACGATTTTGTTCTTAGCTTCTCCTGCACTGATGCTTATTCTCGTCTTTGGCAAATGAACTCTGCTATCCACTCCTTGACTTATCAATCTGACGTGAATTTGAAGCGGGCCCTCGTATCCGAAGAGTCTTCCCACAAGGCTCACACCGAGCTTAACTTAGCCCGCAATGAAACAACCAACAGAAGAAGGAAGTTAGTTTTGCATCATTTTGACTACCATCTTCAAGTAAGGGATACCTTGTGGCGGTTTGTGTATGGTGGCAACTCATGGAACGAGTAGTCATAGAATGT